CTAAAATACCCATAAATCCCTCATCCTCACCCCTAAATTCCCCCAAAGGGAGTATCTGCACCTTTACCTGCTGGTCTCTTACAGAATGTCAGTTTCTCTCCTAGACTGTGCTGCCTGTTTTACAGGTCCCTCTCACTCTGCTGCGAGAGGGAATTTTACAATACATGTCTCCATTTTTCTCATATCTATCCAACTCTTTCTTCACTTGCTAAGTCTTTTCTGAATGTATACTGTATTATCTTTGATCAGATTTCAAGATACTGCGGTATCGTATGTTGTGTTCATTTCCTTTGTACAGGAAGTAATATTGGTTGAAATTATGTCATATCTTTCAGAGCATCTAAATGAAAAGGGTTTCAGCAAAACAAACATTAAAAAAGGCCATGATGAATGTCTTGTAAAGCTGTTGGACTAGGACTAATGTTCTAACAGCTCTAGTACAGACATTAACAGTTCAGTGTTAACAAATTAGAGGCTAAACATAGTGTGTGAGGCATTTGCTGATTTTCTTTAAATAGCATTTTTCTTACACCAGAGACTCTTGCATCATGCCTGATGCATTCCAGTTATTTTCCATCAGGGCTCCTCTCTCACTCTCTCTCTCTCTCTCTGTCTGTGACACACTTGCTCAAGATCAAAATAGTGTTAAATGTAGACTGTCCATTGCTTGGCTGCCTCCATTTCTTGAGTTCATGCCAAGAGTATCTGTATATAGTTCTTTTAAAGGGTCTGGCTCCAGTCTGACAGTCACACTCAGTAAAGCATTGCAGCGGTGTGAGAAGGTAGTGCCTGGGCAGTCTGGTTCAGACAGGCTGTTAAAGTGTGGTCAAGCTTGATGAGACAATACAAGACCCAACTACTCTAGAAAGACTCTGAAGAGAGTTTTAAAATGCTAAGGCAGGCAGCTCACAGCACTGCTAGAACTGGACGCAGCCAATGTCAAGAGGAAGATATCTGAAAGCGGATGTCTCTGTGTTTAATTATATGATTAAGCTCAAATATGGTGGATATAATTTATACTATATATGATCATAAGGATGACTGGAGCAATGCCTTTTGGCTCGTAAAGACCACAATTTGTTCAATTGTGGCTGAAAAATAAGGTCCAGGCATGTGTTTACCATATACAGCTGAAATATTTAAACAGAGGTCCAGAAGTGAAGCATTTATCACACCCAGAAATCTCTGTGAAAAACACTACCATTTAAAGTGGGCTATATTTTAGTATCATGGTTCAACTTGATGTTGGTCTTTGTTTATATATAGTTTGGTACTATCAATATCTCTCCAGCACAGGTTTATGAAAATGTAAAGTCACACTCTGAACTAAAACAAAGATTTATTTTGTCCAGGTTACGGCACCAGGCTCACAAAGAGCTCTATGCATACAAGCAGGTGAGCTGCTGGCGTATCTGTTCAAACTGGCTACTGTATTATGTAAATGTACATTATTTACTGTATGATACAGTTTAGGTGTGAATGGGAGTGTTACAAACTGATTGTTATTTTTTTTTGTTAACAGGTTATTCAAAAGGAAAAGGTCAAAGAATTAAACTTGCATGAGGTGAGATTTTATTTATTTATTTATTTATTGTGACCAATCATGTGAGTCATTTTCTCAGATGATTACATAATGTGTATTGGCCAGGAAGTGTTTTCTTGGTATTAAAAATGTGCACATGAAATTTAAAGGACATCTTTCAGCAAAAATAATTAATGAAAGTAAAATAATTAACAGTAATATAAAAAAACAACAAAAAACAAATCCTGTCTAAACTGGTTTTTAACATTATTAGCTTTTTTGGAGTGTCAGGACTATTTTTTTTTTTGCCAAAAAGATGTTGTAAAGACTTTTTTTATTAAATTTATTTAAAATAACTGTTTTATTACAGGGCTTTGTACAGTACATGAATAGATTTAATAAGAAATGATTCACTGATGCAAATTCTGGTATTTTGTGTATTTTTGTAGTCAAATGTTACAACACTATTGAAACACTGGTGTTTATCACTGTCTGTTCACAGTTGTAGTCTATTTTTTCTGTGTTTTTGTATTTTGAGTAATTTCAAATGCTCAAGTTTAACATTGTCACCTTAATTGACATCACACTTGTAACCACAGTAGCTGTCTGTCATTATATTAATGAATATCAGTTACACTGTACCTCTCAGTGGATACAGAATATAGACTGTTAAACCTGAACTACCCTCCACCCTGAACATAAGGACGTTTTACAGGAGATGTATGCTCTCCATGTTTAATAATAGCATGAGCCTATGACGTGTTTAACCTTCACCGTGATGGTTTGTACATGACCGTGTTAATAGGCCAGTGTCCTGACTTCATATGTGAGTGCTAATGAAATGTTAGCGACAATATTGAGGTGTGAGGACACCAGAGCTCTTGTTGAATGCTCAAACTGTCCTGGAATTTCTCATAGCCCTTCACTCCCTTTCTGTATCTCATAAGAGTTCATTGTCGAGGAATTGTTTTCACATCGTTGTATTTTAAGCATCATGAGTAAAGGCGGAGATTTTAAGCATCATGAGTAAAGGCGGAGATTTTCATCAAACGTTTATGTGTCTTCTGGCTGCGTATATGCATGAATGCAATGTAATATTTAAACAAAACAGTGATGGCATTTGTTGGAATACTCGGCCTTGTGTAGCGTCTGGCTTCTTTTCATTTGTATTTGATATAACAGCACAGCAATTGCAACACAAACAAAACAATTAGTAACATTTTATCTTGGAAAGGAACACAAAGTTCTCCCAGCCACTACATGAAGTGCTAGAAGTGTCATCAATATTAACAGCACAATTAGTGATTTTATATTAGTCATATCTTTTGAAACACCGCCTGAAAACTGTGAGCACTGCCCAGAAGTGCCAAGCAAATGTCAGCCGCACTTGTAATCTCAGTTTGTATGGTATTCTACATGTTTTGTTGGACTTTCTGCGCCAGCAGTCATGACACTCATTTGTCAGACTCAAGATTTTATATAGATTTTTTTTTTCACAAATAGCTTTGGGGAAACACTTTCGTCCATGTGCCTGATACTGGCTTTTTTCGGAAGATGTTTTATAGTTTGCAGGTGTTCCCATCATTTGTTAGGTAACAATATCTGTTAACCAGGCTAATTTGAAAGTGAAGTGATGTGTGACCAAGTATGGTGAAGTATACTCAGAATTTGTACTCTGCATTTAACCCATCCAAGTGCACACACACACACCGTGAACACACACCCGGAGCAGTGGGCAGCCATATTGCTGCGGTGCCCGGGGATTCGGTGCTTTGCTCAAGGGTCTCACCTCAGTCGTTGAAGAGAGCACTGGTTATTCACTCCTCCCACCGACAATTTCTGCCGGACCTGAGATTCAAACCTGCAACCTTCAGGTTACAAGTCCGACTCTCTAACCATTAGGCCACGACTTGATTATGCTTTAAGCGACCAATAAGGGCTTAGTATTCTCAGCTATTTTTAACTGTATTTAAATCCATTCCACCATAAAATTGTGACAATTGTACTACAAAATGACAGTAGAAAAAGTGGTCATCTACATTATATGTAATGTAGGAGCAGTGGGCAGCCATATTGATGCTAGTGATGCTAATGTAGATTATACATATAATCTACATTATATGTAATGTAGATGCTTTTTCCCTTATTTGTAGTTTAAACTACAGCATATTGGAACATTGTTTATAAAGACTTAATAAGGGTTGGTTAAGTTTTTAAATCTACACTAATACTGTTCAGTTTAACAGGTCAGGGTTATTATAGTTTTAAATTTGGAATTTCAGGTTTATGTCTATTTTCAGTTTTTCCTTTCAATTTAGTTTAGTTTTCACTTTATTACTATTAGTTTGAGCTTTTTTTAATGTTTAATCTCTTATGTTTTATATATAAATATATAGACAATATAAACATCATACATAAATCATATAAAATATAAATTTTCTGTTTTATAGCATATAAAAATAAATATATATATATATATATAGACATTGTACACGTTTTATAAATATATATTATATAAAAGATAAGTTATTATACATTTGAATTTATTTTAATTAAACAAATTTAAACTAAATTTGTATTTAAAATAAAATATATAGAGGCATCATATTTCAGGAAAATTTATTTTAGGTTCAGGTTTGTTTTTGTTATTTTATTTTATTTCATTTCTTTTTTTTTCATTAACAATGATAACAGTGATTTGTCGACAAATCTTGCAGTGGTTTAGCAGGGTTTTTTTTAGCATAAACTTGTGTATGCAGTATGGGAATTCTTTAAGACAAAGCATATACTTATTAGACAACACATTCCCACAAACAGGTTTCTAGAGGGCATTCGTGGGTCTGAAAATAAATGGGTCAGTAGTCCCCTCGCCTGTACTGGTAAGTCTGGTTTGCAGTTGCATGTGTGCTCAGACAAGAAGGAAGGTCTTACATGAAGAGGTGGGGCCAAGCTACAAGCTGATTGGACCCTCTATCCTGTGCACACAAGCCAAAGAGGGGAAAAAACAATGTTATGTTTGTATACTGGCATGAGAGATTTTCACTAGCATAGTTAGAGGTTACAAACATTCAGCACACCGTCTGAATGTTTGTAAACAAAGCCACCGTTCCCCCCGAGGAACATAGATCTGGTTCTGAAATATCATAAACTGTGATATCACCATGTTTAAAGGAATAGTTCACCAAAAAACATCATTCTGTCATCATTTTCTCAGCCTCACTCCAAATCTGAATGACTTACTTCTGTGGAACACAAAGAAATCCAATGTTGTCCACCACTGACTTGCAAAATATCTTCTTGAAGGTGAGCAAATGATGACAGAATTTACATTTTAGGCTGAACTATCCCTTTAATGCTATGAATTGTTCTTCACTAGATCCAAGAATTAAGGAGTGTCCGACCATAGCATGTAGCCTCGGCTTTTAAGTTCAAGCCCCCATGAGTTAGAAAGGTGATCCGGCTACAGTTGACTTCATGAGCAGAATTATACAGCTTCACAGCGCTCTATCACCCCTGTCCTTGATCTTACATAAGATACAGTGCGAGATGAGTGAATATAATCTCAGCTCTCGAAACATTAAGTACCCTTCCTATAAGGTGATTATATACACACACACATTATACGGTAGAGCTTGTGCAGAAATGCATGATGATCCACAGTAGTTTTATTTAGTATCTTTGATATACTATTGTAGCTTTTGTTAATATTGTGAATTATATTTTTTAATATAGTCTGTTTTCATTTTAAGTTTTGGTAATTTAGTTGTGTGTTTTTATATATATATATATATATATATATATATACATATAGACTGTCAGTGTATTTAAGTGTTTTATATTTTATTTTATTTCAGATAACTTTTTTTCTGTTTTAGTCTTAGTTTTAGTTTTCGTTCATCTTAATATCCATTATGAGAATGACACTGGTCCGGCTGGATGATTTATTATAACCAGACCGGCCTTGGTTGGAGTATAAAAAGTAATAGTGAAAGAAAAAGCAGTGTCTGTTTTGTGCAGGATTTAGCTACATGTTTAGCGTTATGAAGAAACATTCTGTCCCTTGTTGGCCTGTTAATGCCATTCTTTCCTCACAAAAGCCAACAGTGTATATTCAGCAGACAATCTCAGACAGAGAAGCATTGTGTCTCAATAATTCGCCAGCCACCCCCTGCTCAGGGTCAATGACACCTAAAGCACTTGGACTGTATACAGAACTATATCTTGTTTTATGATGCACCCAAAGAACAGTAAATAACTGTTGTGACAGACACCCATGTGCCCAGGCACATTTGTCCGAAACCACTTTTGTTCTCTTACAACTGGTACTGTGCATTTCCCTGCCCCCTTGTTTGCTGTCAGCAAGGTTAATGAAATATTTACTTTGTACACAGTTCTGGAAGATGTCCTGGAAAAAAAATAGCTATGGAGCATATCGGTTTTTAGCTTTCACTTGTATTCTGAATTATTACAGCAAGGTATTATAATGGTATTTATATTGTGAATTAAAACTTTGTCAAGGCTGTATGATTAATTCCGAATATTCCGAAAATTCTAAAAAAAACTAAATGGCAGCTGTTGTTGCCAGAATTTTTGCAAAATGTTAAGATTTACAGATTTAACTTAAATTTAAATTTACAGTAAAAAAAAAAAAAAGTCATTATTTTTTCAGTGACACAATTTTGTCTTTTTAAGATAGGAAATAAAATAGTTTTCAGAACATTTCTAAAATATATATATATATATTTTTTTTTGTTATATTATTTTTAAAATTTAGGTGTGGTTTAAAATGTGCTACTATGTCACCTAACTGTAACCATAGTACTATGTTGTGAAATGTTGAAAAAAAAAAATGCTTTTGGGAATCCGTAAAAGTCATAATTTTTAGCATTGTTTACATCTGGCTTAATATCTTTACGTGGTACACGCTGTCTTTCTGTTTGGCTTTTCCTCAGTTGACTTTCTCATTTTCTTATACATTCCAACTAGATGTTAGCCCTCAGCCTTATATGGAATAGCCAATACCTGAGTATTTTGCCACAGAATTCCACACTCTGAGACAGATTGTTTATCAAAGCGTTTGG